ATCACCAACCTTAACATACAAAGTATGTTCATATAGATACTTTTGGAAGCCTTGTTTGACAAAATATGCATCTATGCTGCTATACCAAACTCGTGGTGCTTGTTTCAGCCCATAGAGTGCCTTCTTCAATCTCAAAACTTTCTCCTCTTTTCCTTGTTGTCCATGGCCTAGAGGTTGATCTACAAATACTTGTTCTTGCAATTCACCATGTAAAAAGGCAGACTTTACATCTAATTGAAAAATAGGCCAAGAGTTTTGAGTAGCTAAAGAGATTACCAAACGAATTGTATCTTACCGTGCAACAGGGGCAAACACCTCTTTATAATCAACTCCATATTCTTGCTTGTATCCCTTAGCCACCAAATGAGCCTTGTGCTTGCCTATTTCACCTTTCTCATTCAATTTGGTTTTAAACACCCACTTCACTCCAATAGTTTTATGACCCTTAGGCAAATCAGTCAGCTCCCATGTATGATTCTTCTCAATAGAATTGATTTCAGCCTCCATTGCTCTTTGCCATTTTGTATCTTTGACTGCCTCTTCAAAGGAGATAGGATCTGAATCTACAAACAAAGCAAAATGAGCGGTAGTGTCTTCATCTGAGAGTTCACCCTAAGAAAGATGCATTTCTCACCCTTGTCATCAAGCTTCTTCCTCTTCACATCTGGAATATGTGCATATGCTATGCCCCCAAACACTTTGAAGTGATCTACTGTTGGTTTCCTTCCACTCCAAGCTTCCTCAAGCGTCATGTGTTGAATAGAAAAGGTGGGACTTCTGTTCAAAACATGAATGGACCACAACACTGCCTCAGGCCATAATTTCTTTGGAACTCTCCCCTTGACCATCAAGCTTCTAACCATGTTGAGGATGGTTTATTCTTTCTTTTGAATACACCGTTTTGCTGAGGTGTACATGCTGATGTGAATTGTCTTCTAATGCCTTGCTCATCACAAAAAATTTCAAATTCCTTTGAACAATATTCTCCACCACAATCAGTTCAAAGAGTCTTAATGGGTCTTCCAGTTTCATTCTCAACTAGTGCTTTGAAGCTCTTAAATGCATTAAAAGCCTATGATTTTTCCTGCAAAAAATACACCCATGCCTTCCAGCTAAAATCATCGATAAAAGAAACAAAGTATTTCTTTTTACCATTTGATATTGGTGTAATGGGACCGCAAAGGTCTGAATGCACCAACTCCAGCGGGTTATGAGCTCTCCATGCCTTTCTTTTTGGGAACTCATCATGGTGTTGTTTGCTAACAACAAAATCTTCACAAACTTTGGATGGTGATGTAATCATAGGAAGCGCAGTCACCATTTATTTTTGATGAAGTGTCTTTAATCCATTGAAATTCAAATGACCATATCTAAAGTGCCATAGCCATGACAGGTCATCTTCCTTAGCCATTAAGCAAGCTTCTACTGTCTTTATCTTCAGCAGAAACAATCAGTTTGATGTCATTTGAACAACGGCAATGGCATCTCTTACTAGATCCTAAATCTCATGTGCATCTTTCTGAATGGTTATAATATAACCTTTGTCTTGTAATTGACCAGCACTTAACAAATTTGTCTTTAAGTCATGAACATAAAAGACATTGGAGATTGTCTCTACAAAGTTATTTTTAGTTTTAATCTAAATATCACCCTTTCCCATCACTTTCACAGTAAAACTATCACCAAAACTCATAGTAGTACTAAAGCCTTCATTTAAAAAAGAGAAAGAAGACTTACTACCACTCATATGGTTGCTGCAGCCAGTGTCAATATACCAGACTTCTGACTCAAGCTCCTCCTTGATATTCAAGGCCATCAACAACGTCTCTTCTTCCCTTTTCTCAGCAAAGTTCAACTTCTCTCCCTGTTCTTTATTTTTAGACATCCTTGTGTAGCATTCATTGCGATAATGCCCATAATTTCCACACATGCTCAATCTTGGACTTGTCAACCTGTCCTCTTTCTCTATTTTAGGAGTGGTCATCATCTCTCTTGTAATTCTGATGGTGTCTGCTTTCATCAATGCTGCCTCAACCTCTGCCTTCATCTTGATTGCCTTGACCACCTCTCCCTCTTGAAACTGAGGATTCAGCAAGGGTAGAAGCTTTCAAAGCTTGCTCATCTGAGGTGCCTCTTTTTAGCCTTTACTCATGGACCAGCAAGGAGCTTTGCAACTCATCTATTAACATCTCATCAATATTATTGGACTCTTCAATAGAGCACACAACATAATTGAACTTAGGGGCCATAGATCTCAAGATCTTCTCAATAATGGCCACATCATCAAGCTTGTCACCATGGATTCTCATCTTGTTAGCAGTTCCCATTGCTCTTCTAAAGTAACATCTGAAGAGTCTCGAAGTCTTTTCTCAAAGATTGAAGTTGTGCACGCTTCACTCTTGCCAAGCCCTGGTACTTTTTCTTCATGGATTCCCATATGTTTTTGGCTATATCTTTTTGAAGAATAGTGATGTAGCACGCATCTCTCATAATTTTCTGTTTCAGTTTGACAGGCATAAGATGCGTGCAATTAATGTTCCAATTTCAATTAGAATTGGGAGTTTGGTTTAGGAAGTAAGTTTGTTTTCCTATTTCAATTAGTTTTGGAAATTTGGTTTAGGAAGTAAGTTTGTTTTCCTACTTCAATTAGAATTGGGAATTTGGTTTAGGAAGTAAGTTTGTTTTCCTACTTCAGCTAAGGTTTGGAGTTTGTTTTGTTTTCCCTAAGTATAAAAGCTATTTTATAGCTAATTGTAAGACAGTTTTTGACGTTAAATATTAAACTTAGAGAATTCTCTCTATTTTCCTATCAACTTGGTATGCCGCTAGAATCAACAAGGCATACATGATAAGTTCATAATTTTATACATTTACATGCCTTCTTTACTCAGTGTTTTTGCTTAGTTTCTCTTTATTTTAAGTCACTTACCTCTGTTTGTGTGTTTTGTAGGTTAAGACAACAAGAAATCACATTTGATCCAATCCATGCATGTTAAGGACTGATTGAGATGAGAGGAATATGAGCTTAAAGACAAATCTAATTTGAGCCACACTCCCTTGTCAGTCCAATTTCGTAGATCATCTTGCAGGTCTCATTTCAGCAACCTACACAACTCGGATGAGAAGACATCCTTAATAGTAGTTGTTCCAACGGGTGTCTATTATAACATATCCAAATTTCAGCCCCATAATAAATCTGGAGCCCTTAGCACGTCAAACACCCAACCAAGTTCATAGAAAAGTCATAGTTGGCTGCCATCACATTTAATGTGGCCACATCCCTGTAGCTATATGCAATACATAAGAGCAGCCACACATGGGAGACAAATTAGCTTGGGCACTTAGAAAGATGAAAAAAAAAAGTCAAGCTTGCCATGAAGAGACCAATAATAGTCCACCAAAAGCATTTATTGGGCAGCTGAGGCAATTGGCCAGCAACTGAGAGAGGTGTGCTTCACCAACCAAAGGGAGGACGAATTTGGCACTCTATAAATAGAGAGGTGCACACTCATTCAAGGGGACACATACATTCATTTCATCCATTACTTATACACACATTCAGATTCCATCATTCACCACAAAGAGAGAAGAGAGCTAGTTACAAAGGAGGGAGAGCTTGGAGCAATCTTGGGAACTACCTTGCTGCCACCAGCTAGTTCTTCTCTTCTCTTTATTCTATCTATGTATTTCTTATTTTATGTATTCATAGTTATGTCTAACTAATCCATTTAATTAGGGCTTAAAATGAAGCCCTAGTCATAAATATTCAATGTTATGGATGATTTCATAGTTAATTGATTTCCTTGCTTTCTTTATCAAGTTGTTAACCTCTAGTTTATTATGTGCTTGATGTATGTTTTCTTGGAGTAGCTACCTAGAATTTTATTAATCTAGCACAAGTTGGGGAGGGGTTTAGATTCACCAGGGCGGCGGTGCAGACGGCACTGGAGGCGTCCGAGCGGACAAAAGCGGTAGAGGTCGAGGCTGCCGTTGGTGAAGCGATTAGGAACTACCGTTCCTCCACTGAGTTCACTTCTCTGGTGGACAGTGAAGTGGCTGCTGAGATGGCGGACCTCATCTACCGTTTCAAACGGTTTAACCCAGGCCAGAAGCTGAACCTGAACTTCGCTGCCGATCCCCCTCCTCTACCGGAAGGCATTACAAAAGAGATGATCGAGGAGGAGGATGCTCCCGAAGATGCCGAGGGTGCCCCTAATGCCACCGTTGACGCCGTGGTGGAGACTGCCGGTGACCAGGGAGATCGGACTGCCGAGGCCTGAGCTACTTTTGTTTTTTTTTTTTGTAATTTATTTATGTATTTTTAAATGCCGTTGGCAAAATTTCTGAACACATTGATGCCGAGGGCATCTTTTCAATTCAAGTTATTTTCCTTTTCAAATCAGTGCGTTTTCGCTTATCTTTAGTTTGAATTCTTTCCCTGCTTGTTACTGCCGTAGGCTGATAACTGCTTAGGATAATAACTGATTGGGTTGTTGGCCACTTAGGAGCTTACTTGCCTTGGATTAGCGAAGTGTCCCTACCTTCGGTAGATAAACGTTGGCTCATACCTATTTGCCAGAACCCAAGTATCACGCGCATCGGTAGGAACAAGGTCCCAATAGTCTTTCGTCCATGGAGATGTCGTGGGCAAGTCTAGGATACCGTATAGCTTTGTAGTCTGCTCGATGAGAATACCGTAGGCAATTCCAGAGCGTGGTACTGCCGTTGGCTCGTACCCAATGCTTGTTGCCAAAACAATTGTAAAAAATGGCCAAGGCATCTCTGAATCGGTAGTTAACGTAAAGAGCGTAGCTTTTGATTGCCGTAGGCAATGTTACTGTGGCTCGTAACTAATGAGCCCCACCGAAACTGTTTTTTTTTTTGAAAAAGGTGCCGTTTAGGCTATAATGTTTCAAACATATGCAACTGAATAATCTCATTTTATATATAAGTGCCGTAGGCAAAAATACAAATCCCTCCCTGCCGTTGGCTAGGGGGCTTTATTTAAAATAACTCTTGAGATGGTCCACATTCCATGAGTGACCGAGGGTCTTCCCATCTGTGCCTCGGAGCCTGTAGGTGCCGGATCGAAGGATGCCGATGATTTCATAGGGTCCTTCCCAGGAAGGGCCGAGGGTTCCTTCCGTTGGGTTTTTGGTTGCAAGCGAAACCTTGCGCATGACCCAGTCCCCGATTATGAAGGAGCGCGATTTGACCCTTAAGTCGTAGTACCGAGAGACGCGCTGTTTGTAAGCTTCGTTCCGAAGGTTCGCTACCGTTCGGCGTTCCTCGATTAAATCCAGGCTTAACGCGAGTGCCGCCTCGTTAGCCTTTGGCTCGAAGCTTTCCGTTCGGTAAGAAGACTCACCGATCTCAACTGGGACAACGGCCTCTGAGCCGAATGCAAGGCTGAAGGGAGTTTCCCCTGTGGAGGTTCGATAGGATGTTCGTATGGCCCATAGAGCTTCGGGAAGCTTCTCCGGCCAAGCGCCCTTGGCACTGTTGAGTTGCCGTTTCAAGAGTTTCTTAATA